GATGAGAAGGTAGATGGGGAGGTAAAAATTGGAAAGGTTTCCCAGTGCATACCTTCTCATCTTACCTCCAAAAACATCTGATTTAGGTCAGGGAGGTAATTAGCTAGGTAAAAATTAGAAAGGAACATATAAGGATGGGATTTATTTAACAAGATAACTCTAAAAGTTTATGTAGCATTTATACTAGCTTTTAACTAAATTGTGTTGTTTAAAACAAGATAAACCTCAAGATACCTTCTAGCTCTAAAATATAAGATCTGTAATCTTCCCTGGCATGTGGGTCCTCATATACCCTATTAGAGTAAACATTAGTCCTTATATTGGTTAGAAGAAATCTCCTTTTAAATGTCAGTAATATCTTCCCATGTGCTATTCAAATATGCTTTAACAAATTTGTTCGTGGATCCTCATGGGGTTGTTGATTTGTTTGTTTTTTTAATTGAAGAAATAGATTTATATGTGTTTTTAAAGGAGAAACATGAAAACAGTTTACATATGGACAACAAACACATATATGGAAAATAAAAACTTTCAGTTAAACGCTGTTTAAACTGTTAAATAGTTATCCTTCTGTTAAACACTCATCTATCATTCCCATAATCCTTTATAATTCATTCAACGAATCATACCAACAAACTGAACTCTGATGCCATTCTCAGGTGAAAAACACATCTTGATTGAATCAATCAGTCGGAGGTACGGACAAGGTCAGACACTTCTTTTGCACCAATCAATCAGTAACATTTCAACTAGATGTGAAAGGAGGTCTGTCTGGATTGGTCGAGGGACTTGGTCTGCTCTGTGAGGCATGTACAATACCAGTGAGTTAGTTTGGAATCAGACATTCAAGGATCTGGTGGGTTTATGGTCGAAGTCTCCAGGCAGACCCCTAAGAAGGAATAGCTTTGGAGAAGGAGTGGGCAAGAGGAAGGAGAAGATCCTTGGCCTCAGCCTTGGTCTCCTCCCTCTCCTTTACAAGAGAAGGACCTTGTGAACTTGTGAGGCTAAAAGAGCTTTGATCTTATCAGCATCCCAATCCTAGCAGTATTACTGGAATGGCTGATGAAGTATTGGGAACCAAGGAGAGGGTAGACCCACTGAGGAAAGGTAGCTTGGAGACTCTACAAAGACCCCAGCAGAGAAGCTACATCAAGGCTGATGGGTGGGGAGAGAATTCATGAGTGCCTTAAGCAAAGGCCTTCTAACAACCAGAAACTATGAGTTCTTCTTAGCAACTCACTAAGCTTGAGCCCACTTTCCCCAGACTTTACATGTACTTGTGGAATGATGTCAGACTTTGGAGAATTGCTTTATACCAACTACGCCATGATGGTAAATATCTATTGTATTATTGTTGCTGTTTGTCCTTTGCTATCAAAGAGGACCGTGACATCAGGAAGATGATGCCATGACTTGCAAATGAAGTGGATTTAAGTGAGGGAGGGCTGTGCAAAGTCACCAGCCTCACGTTCTCCTCCAGAGCCGAAGCCATCTGGGTCTAGACAGATGGACGACTGGAGATGGCCCTGCATGCTGGAGAAGACATTGGCCTTTTTAAGCTAAGGCTACTCCTAGGTCTCAGTTTGACTCAGGCAACACCCATTCAGTGATTAAGGCTATAATTTTTACATAAAAATACATAGTATAGTGGATAGAGCGCTGGGCTTAAAGTCTAGAGACACGGCATTTGATCTCACCTGAGATACTCAAAAGTCGTGTGAACAGGGACAAGCCATCCGATTTCTCAAAACCTTAGTTTCTCCACCTGTAAAATTGGAATAATAAAACCTGTACTAGCTACCTCATACCTACTTTGTGAGGAAAGCACTTCACTAACTTTAAAGTATTACAGAAATGTAAAGTGTTATTATTATGCTACTTTTCAAAGAAAATTAACATCATAGCATTCTTCCCAGTTTCTATTTTGTCTTTCTTTTTTACAGTATCTCTAAAGGTCTACATTTTCCTCCTATCTCTATATCCCTTTGCTGCATTCTTCCATCCCATATACATACACACCTTTAACCATCATCTATGGGTTAGGCACTAGAGAAGAATTACCATCATCAGTTATAAGCCAATGGGTCATACAAACTCTATATATAGTTTTTTGGTCCATACCTATGACTTCATAATTGGAGAAAACTGCCAATAAAGAAATTCCTACCAAAGACACTTTATACTCTTCTAGGCGTTGGCTGGGGTATTGAGAGGCTAAATGACTTACCCAGGATTATATAGCTAGGATGTGTCTTAGGCAGAACTTGAACCCAGGCCTTGCTGATCCTAAGGTCAACTCTTATCTATTCTCTGTTACGACATTCTGCCTCTCATCCCCATCTTTATAAATATTATTTAATGCCTTCAAAAGGATCTCTTCTCATCTTTTTTAAAGAAGTTGTAGCACTTGGGATAGCTAGGTAGCCCAGTGAATAGAGTACCAGACCTGGAGTCAGAAAGACTTCCCGAGTTCAAATCTGGCCTCAGACACTTGCTAGCTGTGTGACCCTGGCCAAGTCATTAACCCTGTTTGCTTCAGTTTCCTCATCTATAAAATGATCTGGAGAAGGAAATGGCAAACCACTCCAGGATATATGCCAAGAAAACACCACATCAGGTCACAGAGAGTCAGACACAACTGAAATGAGTCCACAACAACAACATAACAACAACAAGAAGCATTTGAAAAGGTATCAGCAGAATAGTTAATTGACATGAAGTATTAAAGAGAAGTACTATATGGTTAGGGATTTTTATTTATGAAAAAATTTATGGATCTAGTCATCTAGGGGAGATTTTGCCACATTTTCCCCAGCTGTTCCAGCCCAGAGAAAGGACAGAGGGATAGTTGCAGTCGTGGGAGCTATTCATGACATTCCTTCCTCACCCTCCAGCCTATACTGCTGTTGCCTTCGAGAGAAGTGGAAAATTTTCTCCCCATTCCGAATATCTGACTTAAAACATTCTATCTTATGATTCATGCATGATGTTTGACGGGGTGGAAAATGAGAATCCTATGTCTAATTCCAGTTAGGACCCACTCTACTCACTTGATCTGGAAAAGGGGAGGTACTCATCTCAAAATGAGAACCTAACCCAATATATGGTGGAGATGACAAGAAACTGGATAGGAATCTGTCCTGAAAACTTTCCATCTCTAGCCACATTTCAAAACAAATGGGTGTGGGCATTCATTAAAAGAAAGGATGGTGGTTTGTGGAGGCCTAACAATTTCTAATTCATTGCTAATTCTTAAAAACAACACAAAATGTCATGGGTTGAGGAGGGGGAGAGAAAGAATTTATGACTCAATGGGGAGACATCTGAAAGATAGTCTCTTAGAAAATATAGGAATGATCAAATACACACCCATTGTGATCTCATAGCGTATGAATGTTTGTGGCCCCTGCAATGACCTGAGAAGTTGACATATTGGCCAGGAAAATCAACTTTTCCCTCTTGAATTAAGAGAACAGTGCTGTGGCTAAGACTGGCCTCTGGTTGTTAATGCAAGCTTCCCATAAATCTCTGCTTCTTCCCTATCCTCCCTCCCTAGCCAAGCCCACCTGAGGCTGACCATTATGTATAGCTTTTACCCTTGGAATACAATTGTTATCATACATGTGGTAACCTGAAGGCTGTATGATTCAGTGGACAGAAAAAGGGATTTGGAGTCATAAGACCTGGGTTCAAATCCCAGCTCTCCTGCTTACTACCCGGCAAGTCACTTAAACTCCCTGGGCCTCAGTTTCCTCATCTATAAAATGAAGAGATTGGATATAGTGACCTCTAATGACCCTTCCAACTCTAATCTATGAGCCTTTGAAAAGTGATGGCATTTTTTACGTGGGTAGAAATGGGTAACAACATGGCCTTAGAGATGAGATACAGTCTACCTGGCTACAAACATGATTCAGTTCCTGATTTGAGGTGAGTTGGTGGGCTACTTTGGCCCTCTGTGAAATGGAGATAACATTCCTAAGTTGCTTTGAATAACAATATAATAAAAATAATGACAATTGGTATTTATGTAGCACTTCACCCACATTATTTCCTCTGATCCTCACAACCCCATGAAGTAGGTAGATATGAGAATCACCAATTTACAGATGAAGAAATTGAGACTCAAAGAGATTAAGTGATTTGTCCATGATCATTCAGCTAGTAAACATAGAGATTAGATGTCAGAGCTTTTCCTAGGTCAGATTCAATGCTCTTTCCACTATATATCCACATGCCATATTTTGTGGACTAACATGGGAAAACAACTAAAGATGATTAAGTACAAAGTGTTATGTAGGTCTTGACTAATTATAGTGGACCTTCATGGGACTCCCCTATCCTATCCTTGCCCCCTCAATAAGCTAACTTTTTATTGATGTTTTATTTAAATGTTTTATGGATGACATTTGTTTTTTATAGCATAGTCCCTTCCAGTTATACTTCCCTCACCTCAACACAATGAGCAGTAACTCATTGTAACTAACCCTTAAAACAGACCACTAAGCATAGCTAACCAACACAGCAAATCTTTCTGGCACTTTGCACCTACAATTCTCCACATCTCTAGGGGTGCTATTCATCATCTGTTCTCTGTGGTCAAGATTAGTCATTACATACCAACTGAGACTTCACAATGACCCTTTTTGCTACAGAGTCAAAGTCACTGGTCATTTTGGATGGCTACTGTGATACCAAGAGGATCTCATTAGAAGGCAGCCTAACGTATAAGATGATTCCATAGGTCTGAATCCCTGTCTACCTTCCCTTCCCCCTCCCTACCTCCCCCACCCAGCCTCCATGGAAAGCAGCATAGCCAAGTTCAACTTTCTGTTTCATGTTTCAGGTTCTTATATGCCTTCAGTGGTTAAAATGTGCACACTACCATTTGCATTTCAATGATGAAAATTGCTTTCTATAAATATTTGGGGATGTAGACTAGCTCTTGTCCTGCTCTATATCATTTCTCTGAAAGTCAGGCGCTCTGTTTCTCTTCCCAGGGAGCCCCTCAGTCCTTGGAGGCAGCTGTGCTGAAGACAGGGGAGTCTCAAAGTTTTATAAATAAAGAGCTGGTATGTTCAAACAGGAAAGAATTTTACATGAGTGAACAGTACATTGACATTATGCCGTTACTGAAGGTGATCTCACACTGAGAATACTAGGGGTTTTATATCCACACATACAGGAATTTCAGTTACTACATTCCTGTACTGAATCAAAACAGCTTCAGAAGCCCTCAGATCTCCTGTTTTATCAGAAAGAACACACACAAAAAAACCAGGCAGTTTATAGCACATCAAGAAAAGATGAATTAGGCTGGTAATCAGCATCACCTGTTGGGTACAGATCAAGGAAATGTCTGGATTTGTCTGGTAGAGGACAAGGAAGTGGAAAATCATAAACCACTTCCTAAGAAGGGGGCACTGGATGATCTTAACAATAGCTAAAATAATTCTTAATATTTTATAGCCCTCTCTTGAAATGGATGGCTTTCCTGATATAGGGAGGGTTAGAGAGCAAAGTAACAAAATGATGGGCACTAAATAGTAATAATAATAATAATAGCTAACCTTTATACAAAGGTTTGCAAAAAGCTTTATATGTATGTGTGTGTGTCCACACACACACACACACACACACACACACATATGAAATCTTTGATCCTCCCAGCCACCCTGTGAGATAGATGCTATTGTTATTACCCTTTTACAACTGAAGAAACTGAGGCAGGCAGTGGGTCATACAGCTGATAAGTTCCTGAGGCAGGATTCAAACTCAGGTCTTTCTGACTCCACATCCAGCACTCTATCCACTATACCACGTATCTACCCTATTTGCCTCAGTTTCCTCATCTGTAAAATAAGCTAGAGAAGGAAATGGCAAACCACTCCATTACCTCTGCAAGGAAAACCCTAAATGGAGTCATGAAGAGTCAGACTCTGTGCCACACAGAAATGGACCTGGAAATCAGAGGATCCAGTCCAGTTCTGGTGATAATGATGGTTGGACCAGGTGAGATCTACTGCTCCGTCATTTCTCTCAGAATCATAGAATCATAGATTTAAAGCTAGAAGCTTTAGCCAGGCTAGGCTTCTGACATTTCAAGTTCCCTGGAATAGAATCAGTGAGGACACACACCTTTTAAATGTCTTGAAGATGGTGCTAGCTAGTGATTCAGGCTAAAACAACCTATAGAGGAGCTTGGCTCATTGTTCTGCATAGTCAACTGACCAAATGCCTCTGGTTTACTCCTGAACGGCTCCAAAATGTATGGCCTAGAGTTGTTCAGTAAATAATACATGTGAGTGTAACGAGTAATACTTAAGAAGATTTTTCTCTCATGACCTTGTTTTGTTGCAGGTAAAACGAAGGATAATGACACTTTCCTTTTTGGTAGAGCTTTGGATTCTAACCAGGTATCAGAAAACACCCCAAGTGGAAATGTTTTATTACTAGTAACATAGTGAAGGCATAGCACAGAAAGCACTAGACCAGGGGTGGAGAATCTGTGGCCTCGAGGACCTCTAGGTCCTCAAGTGCAGCCCTTTGACAGAATCCAAACTTCACAGAACAAATCCCCTTAATAAATGGGCATTTTTTTGTAAATCTTGGACTCAGTCAAAAGGCTGTATCCAAGGATCTAGAAAGCCATGTGTGTCCTCAAGGCCACAGGTTTCCCTACTCCTACACTAGACTGTCAGACAATCTGGGTTCTAGTTTGTTCTCTGCCACTAATTTTAACTTTATTAATATTATTTTTTTTCAGTCATGTCCACTTCTTCATGACCTTGTGGACCATACTGTCCATGGCAAAGATAGGTGAATGGTTTGCCATTTCCTTCTCTAATTCATTTTGCAGATGAAGAAAATGAGGCAAACAGGGTTAAGTGACTTGCCCAGGGTCACATAGCTATTAAGTGTCTGAGACTGGATTTGAACTCAGGTCTTCCTGACTCTAGGCCCAGAGCTCTATCCACTGAGCCACCTAGCTGCCTCCTTTATTAATATTAATTTAACTTTATTAATGAGTCAGTTAACAGGCATTTATTAAGAGCCTCCTATGTTTCAGGCACTATGCTAAGCACTAAAGACCCAAAGAAAACCACAGTCCCTACTGTATTTGAGGACATCACAGTTTAACAGGGGATTTGATCTGTAAACAATTACGTACAAACATGCTATCTACAGGGTAAACTGGGGAGAATCAACACAGGGAAGACACGAGCATTCAGGGGAACTGGGAAAGGCTTCTTGTAGAAAGGGGGATTTTAGCTGGGACCTGAAGGAAGTCAAAGAAGTCAGGAGATAAGGAGGGAGAGAATTCCAGGCATAGGGGACAGTGAACATGCCCAGGAGTAGAAGGGGGACAGTCATGGTGGCCAGTGCCACCAGATTGAACAGTAAACGAGGGAGATAAAGTATTAAAAGACTGGAAAGGTAGGAAGAAGTCAAGTCATGAAGAATGTTAACAATCAAACAAAAGATGTTCTATTTGACAGCAAAGATAAAAAAGGACCGATGGGGTTTATTGAATGAGAAGGTGACATGGTCAGACCTGCCTTTTAGGAAGATGAATATGACATCTGAATGGAGGATGGACTGGAGAGGAAAGAAACCAACCAGCAAGCTATTTCAACCATGTAGGTATGAGATGAGGGCCTGGACCAGGCAACGCCACAAGAGGGAAATTGTACAAGAGATGTTACAAAGGCAGAAACAACCAACGGGACTGGGCAACAAATGAAATACAACGGAATTTTGGAAGGGAGCACTAGCACCTAGGGGTTGAGGAAGGCAATGCTTGAGCTGAGCATTGAAGGAAAATAGAGCTTCGAAGACAGGGAGGTCAGAAAGGAGAACGCTTCCTGTCTGTGCAAAGGCACAGAAATGAGAGAAGGGATGTCATGTGTGAGGAATAAGCAAATAGGCCAATTTGGACTGGAATGTAGAATATGTGAAAGGGATTGATATGTAATAAATCCAGCAAGGTATTCTAGAGCTGTGAAAAGCTTTATAAACCATACAGAGGGAATTATATTTTCTCCCAGAGACACTGGAAAAGAGTCAGGAGAGTTTTTTCTGAATGATGGAGTGACAGGGTCAGATCTGTGTTTTTGGATTATCCCTTTGGCTTCTGTGCGGAGAATGGATTAGAAAGTTTGAATCAAGGCATCAACCAGGTAGGGGACTACAGTAATTCAGGCAAGAGGTGACAAGGCCCTGAACAAGGGTGGTTATGGTATAAGTCCAGAGAAGGAAAAAGATATCTGGTTGTGAGATTTGTCATAGAATTAGAAAGGGCAAGCCTTGGCAAGGGATGGAAACCATGCAGTGAAGGAGAGTGAGGAAGTTAAGGATGTCTCTGAGATTTCAAAGCTGGGTGTTCCCTCCTTTGTAAAATAACGAGTGTTGAAATAGATGATCTTTGAGTCAAAAGACCAGAGTTCAAATCCTGGCTCCATCACTATAGGAAACTGTAAAAGTTCTTCATTCTCCCTGGTCCTCAGCTCCTTCCTCGGTAAAATGAAGTTTGTTCCAGATCTAAATCTATGATCTTACTGGCCTGAGGAAATTCTCTGAATTCTAGAACTTCAGTGAAATTCTTCCTCCTTACCTAGGTGACAGCTCTGTCTCTCTTTTGATATTTGCAGTATCCTAGTTGGTGCTCAGAGTAGTGAGATATTCTATGTTTGTTGTTATTCACTTGTTTCAGTCAAGTCCGACTGTCCCTGACCCCATTTAGGGTTTTCTTGGTAGAAATACTGGAGTGGTTTGCCATTTCCTTCTCCAGCTCATTTTACAGATGAGGAAACTGAAGCAAACAGGGTTAAGTGACTTGCCTAGAGTCACACAGCTATAAGTATCTGAGGCCAGCTTTGAACTCAGGTCTTCCTGATTCCAGGCCCAGCACTCTACCTACTGTGCCACCTAGCTGCCCACATATATTATTATACAGCCAATCATAATATCTAATTAATCATACCCAGTTAATCAAAATCCCAATTTCATAGATGAGAAAGCCATAGCTTGGAGAAAGTAACTCACAGTCACACCTAGTGTCAGAAATTAAATTTAAATCAGTCAACAAGCATTTATTAAGTACTTGCTCTGTTCTAGACTAATTCTCAAGGATTTCAAAATAAGCTCTGTACAGATGAAAATACTTGATGTGTATAAATTTTCTGTGTTTTCATTTATTCACTCAATTTAGTTGAACAAACATTAAGTGCCTAATGTATGCAAATCACATTCCTCCAAAAACGTTTATTAAAAACCCATTAGGCATGGGGCAATTATAATAATAACTGTCACATATGTGCTTCAAGGTTTAGAAAGCCCTTGACATGCATGATGTCATTTGAGCTTCACAACGGCCATTGGGATAAGTGGGGATATTATTATCCCCATTATACAGATGAGAAAACTGAGGCTTAGAGAGATTCAGTGATTTGCCTGGGGTCACACAGTCAGCAGATTCTAAGGCAGCACTTGAACCAGGTCTTCCTGATTCTACATCTAGTACTCTGCCCGCTTCACTCTCAGTAGGATATCATCATACCCATTTTATAATGAACAAATTTTAGGCTCAGAAATTGTTATTTATCAAAGGTCCTACCATCCATCAGTGATGGAGCAGCCCACAGGTCTCTTGATCCACAGCCTAATTCTTTGTCTAGTAAATCACCCCTTCTTTTTGGAATGTTTAGTATTAATTCCTTTCCCTCAAAAAATACCTACTGTTTTCCTCAGTCGGAATTCCGGAACCCTTAGATGACTAGGTGGCGCAATAGGTAAGAGCACTGGACTTGGAGTCAGGAAGACCTGAGTTCAAATTTTACCTCAAATACCAAATAGCTCTAAGACCTTGGATAAGTCATTTAACCTCTCCCATCCTCAGTTTCCTCATCTGTAAAATGGAGATGATAATAATAGCACTCACAGGGCTGCTGTGAAGATCAAAGGAGACACATGTACAAGACTTTTTAAACCCCCTGAAGCCCCCTATAAATGCCAGCTATTACTAGGTGAAGCCCTAAATAACTGCTAACAATTAAAAGCTGCTTTAATGTTA